TAACTTAATCCTTTTGGTTATGCATAAATTATAAAGTAAAAAATACATGACCATGGTTATATTGTGCATATAATATGTTACATAACTGAGTCATGCAGTAGTGCTTGTCCAGTTAATTGTAACTCTCCCTCCTTAATCTCTCAGGTGATCAACTTTTACATGAACCTGCTGGTCGAGCGCAGCAAGGACCCCAGCCTGCCGTCAGTCAATACGTTCAACACTTTTTTCTATCCAAAGCTGCGCAGCAGTGGCTACTCTGCTGTCCGCCGCTGGACCAAAAAGATGGACATCTTTTCAAAAGACATCCTGTTGGTTCCTGTCCACTTGGATGTGCACTGGTGCCTCTCTGTAAGTCTTAATTATTATAATTACCATAATTGTGGACTTGGAAGTGACAGTGTTGGGATTTATTAAGCTTTTTTTTTTATATATTGTGCAACAGGTGGTGGATTTCCGCAAAAAGGCTATCATGTACTTTGATTCTATGGGAGGAAACAACCATGAAGCATGCAAAATATTGTTGTAAGTTCTAGTATCAGATATGTTTGTTTGTTGAATGGCATGTCTAGTTGTATATTTGGAGAGCCTTGATGTGTATAGGAAGTAAAACATTTTTGTTTCTCCAGTGCTTACCTGCAGCAGGAAAGTAAGGACAAGAAGGGCAAAGAACTGGAAACCTCAGGCTGGAGTCTACACAGCAAAAAGCGCAGTGTAAGTCTAATACGCATGAGGGCTGAGAGCATCATGTAGTTTTCATTATTGTGCCATTTCATGCTGTGTTGTCAAATGTCATGCATTTAGGAATTCTGGATGGGTTTCTGTTATCGGCTGAAAACTCCAGGTTATAGTCTTCAGATCTAGTAGTGCCTCCATCTTTGGCCAGTTTGTCCAGGTCCATGGTTACCAGTGGACTAGCTTTAATTGTAAATCCATCACCAAGTTTTGTGTAAAGCCCTTACTAATATCTTGGTAACTAGTAGTTAGTTTCAATGTAGTGGTAGACAAAAAAAATCTGTGGATACCCTTTAGAAAAAATGTAGGTTTCCAAAATATCACCATGAGTTTGAATAAAAACTAAGGAGGGGTGTTATTTCAAGTCAAGTCAGGTTTTATTTATATTATCAAATACCACAGATTTTCCTCAATGTGCTTGACAATTGACAGCAGTTGTACATATTTGACTAAATGTCTTGGGGTGCTTTGACAAATATGGGGCTGGTAAAGGGGGGAGGGGTCCCTCCAGCACTACATATGACGGAAAAGCCTATCAATCATCTGTTGGCATACAGCCCACTTTGTTTCATCTGCACATCCATCACGTGGCCAGTATAGCAGTCCGCCCTCTAGACCCCACTGGTAGAGTTTTTATAGTCTTGTTCTAGTAGTATTATCGTGTTTCTCATTAACAGAGCAGTGCTGTTTATACTGTTACATTGTGTTAGTATGAATTTTTTTTTTACACTTTCACACAAGACAAGTGAGCTTGGACATTTGAGCAAGGATACATTTGAAATATGAATAATGTACAACCCGCTACTGTGAAAAATCTATTAATAACACTGTTGCATTGTCAAGAGCAAAATGTCTTGTGACACTGAAAGTGTGTCTTTAGGAAAATCACCAAAATGGGATAGAGAGTGAAAGAAAAGCCAAAAATCATAGCACACATTAAAGTAATAACTTTATAACTGCTGTTCATGAAATGTCCTGTCTAACTGTCACAGGTGATTTCATTTTGCACTGCGGGTTGGTCAGGAGTTTACTTGCACCTTTTTAAATGTTGATTTATTCTATTATTATTATTATTATTATTATTATTATTTTAGTTTTTTTTATTATTATTATTATGATTTTTATTCCTCGCTCCTTCACAGGAAATCCCTCAGCAGATGAATGGTAGCGACTGTGGAATGTTCACATGCAAATATGCGGATTACATTACCAAAGACAAGCCAATCACATTCACACAGGTAATCAAAAACAGCAGCAACAAACAAGATTTATCTGATGACATCATCATCAGAGTGTCCTAAAAATGGCTCACATGACCTCTCTCCTCTTATTCACAGAAACACATGCCCTACTTTAGAAAAAGGATGGTTTGGGAGATTCTGAACCATAAGCTGTTGTGATGTCAGGATGAGGATTGCGAACTTGTGTAGTCAGCTCACGGTGTTACAAACACGAGTTGTGACTATGGATGAGCTACGTTCAGCAGCACAGTCCACTGACTGACGTCCTGTTCTGGGAAAGACTTGCACACCAGCTCATCAGATCAGGAACCAGCTCTGCTACTCTCCATCCTCTAAGGCCAATCAAGCCCTCAGCTGATCTTGGCTGAGGGGATGTTGCTGGAGCACCCAAGCACTGCCTCCAAGTCCTGTTCTCCAATTTTTGTTTTTTGGTGCGCCCGTGGTGCATCAGTATAGCAGCTGAAACACTGCGTGTTTTATATTGCCCAGCCAGAACTGTTTTTGAAATCGCACTTGTACTGTCTTACAGACCATACTCTGAGCTGCAATGTTCAGTTTGATGCAGACACACAAAGTTTACATGTTTTTGTCTTACAGATAGTTGAGTGGATTATGCTGCATTGTTTTTGTAATGGCAGTAATAGTACATCTTGCTGTCAATGTTTATACTCTTGGTATGTGCAAATGCAAAAATTACTTCACTATGACAGTATGAATGCCCACAAAACTGAAATTTTAATGGTATTTGGGCATGAGATTTTTTTTTCTCTCTCTCCCTCTGCAATATCAACATTACACCCAAAACAGGATTATTTTTGTAATTTGTTTGATTAAAATGCACAAAAAGTCTTCAAATGTGACATTGCCTCAGAGTATGATTTACAATAAAAACAGAATGTTGTCTTACCTTGCTACTGACTTGCAAGTATAACAAAACAGTCTTAGTTTCACCCTAAAAGAGCAGGGTCAAAAAAGTTTTTGCCATTTCCTTCTTATTCATTAGTCTTGATAAAAGATTGTAAATTAAGGTTCAAAGTCTATTTTATGTATTTCAGAGTCTCTTTTAGTTCAACAGCAAATTTTTGGGCATATTCAGTATATTTTGAACTTTGTACATACTTAAAACATATACAGCCTCCTGAACAGTGTAATATACTTTTTTTTTTTTACCTATTTCCTATCTATTTTTATCTAGATCTAAGTCTGTTTTAGAAATAAATTCTCATGTATCGTGACTGTTCTTTGTGTATTACCTCAGAATCAGTTGGGTTTGATATAAAAACTGCCATATTTGATAATTTGATAAACATGAGAGAATGTAGACGTGTGTGTTGGCTTTTTTTGAAGTGCTTTATCTCTTTTACAAGATATAATGTGCCAGTGGCCCCTTGTGTAATAAAAACCACACAAACCACAGTGAAAAAGTTTTATTTAAAAAAATGACAAGTTCAAAATCAAACCAAGTTAAAAGTTTAATAGCTGTAGGGAGCTGAAGGAGACAAAAGACCTGCATCATGGCACAGACAGACAAACATTTACTGAGGAGAGGTTTGATGCACAGAAAAAAAAAACAGACTGCATGGACATTGTTGAACATGAGTTACAAACTGGTCCCATATGTGACTTGATATATCGAATGACCTTCAGCTAACGTTTTCTAAATACTTAGCAGCAATAGTTCTTTAGACTCAGTTTTTCTTCAATATTTTGGATAAAAATAATGGAATGACAAAGGAACACAGAATAGTAATTGAAAGTTGTAAATATTTCTTTGCTTCATAGATCTATGTTCAGAGTAGTTCTGATACAACAGAAATCTTTTCAAAATTAGCAGTGCATGAAAAAATGAAATTCCAGTCAGAGTTCAAGCCCATCAAATCTGAGTAGCACTTCACTATCCCTTCCAGTGAAATCTAAGGCATTTCTGTGAAGTTTAATTTTCTCCTGGAAATGAACTGTTTCATGGTTTAAAGGAAGAAAACAGTTTCAATTACTCAGAGAAAGAGGAAAGCAAGGTAACAAACAGGACAAGACAGGACACACAATTAATTGGATGGAACGGTGAATTACATCTACCACAACCCTATGGTGTCCATGTAAAAAAAAGTGTGGATAGACAAGTGGGCAACACCTGCCTTCATACACATAAAGCACACCTGTCATATTGTTTTTCCTATAGTTCCTACATTTTCTACATATTAACCACATTTTGGTATGAAATAGTTCCCTTTTAATGCAGTAATTTTACTAACAATTAATGAACCAAGGATGAATGTGTCAGTCAGAAAACAAACAGAAAAAAAATTCAGTGTTTGTATGATGAAATAAAATCCATGTAAGCCAGAATGTGAAGTCATATTGTGAGGTGATCCATTGTCATAGTGTGAGGTGTCTCTTGGATATCTGTAGTATTGCATTTATAAGGACAATAAATTAATTGCATAGATCATCAGACCTTGGGCATGTTTTCCGAACATTGGACGGAAGAGTTAAAGGATGTGGACACAGTACCAGCTGTGAACAGCCATGAGACCTACTGTAGTTGGTTATTGCCTGTGAACCTTGTACACAAACTGAATCTACATTGCTCTGGCAGGATGAGGTAAGTCAAGGTTTTGAACATATATTTCTCTTACAGTGTTCCCAACTGCTTTGGGTACAACTCTGTAGCAATGTATCTGAACCTAGCATACATAATTCATCCATGATCAGGAGTCATGTTTATAAAGTGCCAACATTGGTGACACAGACAGAACTGAAATGTCTAAAAAAAAAAAAAAAAAAAAATATTAAAGCCTCTTTGACATCAATGCTGAAACCAGAACAAGAGAAGTATGCAAACATACAAACAAATCACTATGTAAAAAAACAAAGTTGAAAACATCTATTTCTCACTATTTGAAGCACTCAACACACTATCAAAAATAAAATCAAAGCTTCTTTGAAAAATCTCAATCTTAAAAGTATTAAAACTGAATTAAAAAAAAAACAAAAAAAAAAAACTTAAGAAAACCTTTAAATAAGAAATGTAAAAAAACAAAGAAACATGAGGGTGAAAAACGAAAATGCGGAAGCAAACACACAGCAATGGCCGGTATTAAAGAATCTCTCTACTGGCCAGAATAATCCACGTTGATAGTGTTTTCACAAGATAAAACAGGGCAGAGCCACGCTTTACAAGTTGATTTCCATGTCTATGTAATAAGAACTTCATACTCTAATAACAACACCTTAGTCTGAGTCAGAAAATACATTTGTGGGATGTCAGTGGAAATTCAGCTTCCCATTTTATAAAAGGGACATGAGGAAAAAACAGAGATACTAGCTTTGTTCAGACAATTTGGTATAATGTTGTTATTAAAATCACTGAAGCGTTACTACACTGAAAATCAAAAGAAAGCCTAAATAAATTTAAATCTCTTATTTACAGGCAGCTCTGTATGAGATGTGATCCCTGTTGAACAACTTTGGATTTCATCAAGTGGAGCAGCTCAAACCAATATTTAGAACGTTTTGATAATAATCTCTGGAATGCTTTAAATCTACTTAGCTCGTTTAAAGGCGTCTTCTCTGCGAAATCCGTCATTAATGACCGCCATCTCTAAATTTTCTCTTCTTTGTAATCCTCTGATTGTCTGAAGCTTTGTCGAGATTGTTGGAACTATAAATTATTTGAGAGTCAAGTGCCAAAAAGAAGTGAGACCACTTCAGGTAAAGTTTCATACCCGAAAAACTCGCTGCCACTTCAAGAGAAGCTAATCCAAGTCAGCACCATGTCGCCTGCTTTTTTGAATGACTTCAGCTTGTGTTTTTTTTGAGCCTTCTGTATTCAAATATTTGCACCAATAAATCAAACTACAACACGTGAAGCTAGTAACACACCAAAACAAAGAATTATGTACAAAAAGGCAGGTTCAAAGCCTGAAAGAATCAGACTGAAAAAAAGAGAGAAGTAAAATCAGCACATCTTAAAAAAGGTCAAAACAAAACATGACTGTTGAAATGTTCTTTTCCTGGTTTCATTCTAGCTCCCCGGAGTAGTATTAGAAAAGAATAAAGTTCAAATAAACCTTTGTAACATGTGTAATGTGTGTGTGTGTGTGTGACTGTTATCAAAATAGACACTCCTTGTCCTGTTCTTCCATTTCCCATCGCCTGCCATCCTCCAGCCTTGCTTGTTTGGAGTAAAAGAGTTTTGTTTTAAAATATGAGTTTGTAGAAAATATCTTTTTTTTTTTCTTTTTTTTTTTAAATGTCCTTTCTGTGTAACAGTACATGTTCCTCCCGAGTGTCTGGTGCCTTACGTGCAGAGTCACTGTGCCGAGTTTCAGCACTTGGGCCCTTTGAGAGTCACTCCAGCTCCAGAGGAAGATCTGACACAAGGTGACAAGACCAGCCAATTAGAAACAAGAGCATCTGCCATCATCATAGCAACAGAAAGATGTTTTAAAATGAAGACGTTTACACAGACGCCGACACACACAAACACAAGCAATGATCAAAACCTACCTCTGCCACCTCTTCACTTGTTATGCTGGTAGGAGTAGGCTGTGTGTTCTGTGGGTGTCTCTATGGCAACAGGTTGTTGGACGGCACTTTCCTGAGAGGGAGGCAGCAAAGATTAAATCCATAACATTTTAGTGATAATCTGCTCTAGTGAGACAAAACAGAGGTCATTACCTCGACTGAGATGTTGGTGGCAGGCACTTGGGTGTACTGGGGGATGTAGGTCCCCTGCATAGATGTGTTTGCAGGCATATACTGGGGGAGAATGGAAATCAAACATTCATTGGACATGACAGCTACATTTTGGTAATAACCCTGTCAAATAAACCTGCATGAGGCGAGATTTATATTTTAAATTACAACAACTTTCATCAGCCTAAATTACAAAAGGGAGCTTCAATTCAAGAAGAACACCCCACCCAATTCACACCAAACAGTTCACCTAATTTGCCCAAATAAAATATCTCCACCCTAAATGTCTGGCAGTAGTGACTGAACACTGGGGAAAAATTGAGATCATTGCTTCTCTCATCCCTTTGGTATCGTCTTGTATAACACAATCACAGTCTGGCTAGTTTGGCAGACAGCTGCTCCCAGCTGTCATTTGACACCACCGATGTTTGGAGCTGCAGCTTTAGCAGTTAAATATCGATACTAGCTGAATGCTAATGCACTCTACTCACTGTGCCACTGCTGCCCATGGAGAGGTGGCTGAGCTGCTGTGTCAGGGGCCCCATCATCGAGGTCGGCTGGATGGACATGGTGTGGTCCATTCCTGGCGTCAGGACTGCTCCCTGAGGAAAAAAACGCACACCGTGGTGTTAGAACCTGGAGACTGTTAGACAGTCCGACAGAACGTGAAGGCAGCAGAATATTAAAAGATTCCAGCTGCAACAAAAACAGGAAGAAAAGAAAAAGAGCTACTAGATACTCACTGTGGGCGGCATGATGTACGACTGGTGATGTATCCAGGACGGGTTGTGCACCTGCAGCAACAAGAAAGACATGTGTAAGAGGACAACGTGACATAATGTTAATATACGGTGGCCCTGACGGCACAACGCACAGCAACCTGAGAAAACACATGCAAACACACCTTCACAAAACATTAATTTGACACCACATGTGCTGCAAAAAAACACAACACATGTAAATAAACAAACGTGCTTCAGTCTTACAACACAACGGAAGTGTTCCCCAGCTTGGAGTGTGTGTGTGTGTGTGTGTGTGTGGGGGGGGGTACCATGAAGGCGTAATCCTAACCGCAGCGGCCCAGGTTAATTCTCTCTCTCTCTCTCACCCTGACTTTCCTGTCTCTCTCTCTCTCTATCAGAATTAAGGCAAAAACTTACTTAAAAAGAAAAAAGTCATGAACCCGGCTGGGATGCACTTCTTTTTTTTTTCACGCTTTTAACTTCAAAGGTCACAATTGGGCATTGACCAGAAAGTCCCAGCCAGGTTCATCACATTTTAGTGTCCCCTGGAAACACTTCTCTTCTGTTTATTTGCATGTGTTGTGATTTTTTATTTTTTTTTGCAGCACATGTGTTGTCAAATTGGTGAAGATGTTTGTGCGCGTTTGCGTTTTTGCATGTGTTTTCTTAGGTTGCGGTGTGTTGAGCTCTCAGGGCCACCGTATGAATAGGTTCAATCAGTTTAGAAAATAGTCAAGCGAAGCAATGGTGGGATTTAAAGGGGTTTGACAGCAGGTCTGGGCTCTGAACTAACTAACAGCTTTGAGGGTCTGAAAATGCCCCAGTACCTGGTAGGTGGACACAGGTGAATGCATGTATGGGGAGAGGGAGGTGGGTCCGATCATCCGGTTGGGGGCAATGCTGTACGGAGAGGAGTAGAATCTGCAGAAAGAGACACAAACTCATTAGTCTCCACAACATGATCCCACTCCCTCTGGATACACAAGATATTTATCAGAACAATAGTACTGACCCGTTCTGTAAGGATGTGGTGGGGTCATAGGTAAGGGTCATTCCTCCCTGGAGGACAAAGAGAAAGGAACGCATCATTCAGAGGCCTATCGATCTACTGTATCACAAGCCTCGAGCTGTGTTGCATAATAAGAAAAACAGTCTGAACAGCAAAAATCTTAAACTCACAGTCTCCCCATCTCTTGTCCAGGGCCGGCCGTTCTGCAGATATTTTCCTTGGCTCTGACGCTTCTTCTGGCCTCCATCCGCAAATTTGCACAACAAGGGTTCTGGAGGCACTGGACCAGGGATTTTCAAAATAAGAAAATATCATGTTATATGAAAGACAATATTCATTTTCATGAAAGCATAACTCTTTGAATTAGATTATTTCCTTGGGCTGGTGATTTTTTAAAAATCAAATCAAGATGTCAGCTCAAAGACACCTGCCAAAAAGTAAAATAAAAAAAAAAAAAAGCTCACCTGGAACTCCAGGTGGAGTCTTGATATATTTTCCATTGAAATGTTGGATGATGGCCTCACATTTCTCTGTTGACTCCATCCTATAGGACAAGGTTATGTCTGTTAAAAGCGATCACTGTGTTCAACGTAAACAGGTGACAAGGCTTCAAGCAGATTCGCTACCTGTATCGGCCACCAGAGGGCTCACTCACCATGGCTAATAATATACTATAAAGTTGATCTGTAACTTTACCACTGACTACACTCATTTTCAAATATTTCTTTGTGTAAGTGGATATTGACTTCAAAGCACATGAGGCTGCAGCATCACTAATCGACTTACACCAGCTGTCCTAATACACATGACTAAATAACTCAAGTTTGTACCTGGCAAAGCCGACTCCTCGGCTGGTTCCGTTGGCATCGCGGAGGATGCGTGTGGAAATAGCCTGGCTGAAGGGCTTCAGCATGTTCTCCAGCTCCTGCTCGTCCATGGACAGCGGCAGGTTGGAGATGTATAGGTTGGTGGGGTCCTGCTCCTGTTGCTGAGGCCAAAATAAGATTTAAGAATGAGGATGTGGAGCAGACAGAGCTCTTCATTTGCTTGTGACAGAATCACAACTGAATCGTGCTGATGGGAGCCCTCCAAAAATTCAGAGCTGGAGGGAATATATAACCTTTTAACAGGAAGTGTGTGAGATGTCTGATATTTGGGAGGGCGGCAGGTGGAGCACATCAGACAGCTAAAAAAACAGCTGAGAGAGGACACGGAGGGTTTGAAGTTGGCCTCGTGGAGAAAGCTGATGAGATCTTAGGAGAAAACAGATATTCAGAGATGGTGGAGATAGTCTGGCTGGACTTCAGCTGAACTTCTCTCTCATGTTAACTTTCTCTCCCCCTCTCTCTCTCTCTCTGTCCCCACTACTTTTACTCATCCAACCCATTTTTTTCTTCTTCACACTGTCTTCTCTTGTTCTCCATCACTCATGTGTTATTACCAAAAGAGCAGAAGACAGGCCCATTGTGTGAGACTCGACTCTTAAGAGGATGAAAGCGCAGGATACAGGTAATGTGATATTAAAGCATAATTACATTTCATATGGCTCACCATCCATGAATGATCTAAAATGATGATGTGCTCTTGCTCGGTGGAGAATCACAGCAGAGACGTTTTGGACAAAGACCTTTGGAAATAATCTGGAGAACATCTGAAGCATTGTGCTATCATCTCCCCACAAGGCGAACATTATCATCCTGTTTCCTGGGTCATGGTAATAATACGTCGCTTGCATTCAAGCAGTTATATTCATGTGGTAATCCTGACCTTGAATGCAGGCACAGAGGCCGGCTCTGTCGGCTTGCATAAACCAGACAAATTATGCAGCTCTTCCAAATCTGTATTTGAAATTAGTAAAAAAAAAAAAAAAACTTGGAAGAATCTCGGAGAGTGCCACAGTTTCATTTTCTGCTTTTGAACTATTTTGCAGGATTTCTTTGCCTCCTGCTCAAACAAATTTAATTTGACCAACAGTATCTTGTAAGATAACCAGTCTGTATCAGCCTCTAACCATTATACATATTCATTATCTCAGAGTACAGATGTGATTAAAAAACCTGTAAATGCAGTGTGAATTAATTTCCATCCCATGAATAATGCATGTGTAATCGCTGCGACCTGTGGTGAAGGTGATTTCTGCTTCACCTCCCTCCTCCTCTTCCTCCTGCTCCTTCTCCTTCTGCTGTGGATTTCAACCGGCAATGAGTCAGAGTGAGTCAGAGAGAAATCTGACGCAAACATAAGCCGTGTTGTAAACCAGGAGTGAAGGGGTGAGTGAAATCAAGTTATTTTGTGGGCAAGAAGCCGTATGAATGTCAGTGATCCAGCTTAACGCGAGATCAGCTTTCCCAGGGTGTTGGTGGCGTGCATGCGTGCGCTTGCTTGTGAGTGTGTCATAATCCGGTTGAGGCAAGGCTGCTGAAGTGCGTGCGTGATCGCCAAGTGTGCTCTGTGTGTGTGTGTGTGTGTGTGTGTGTGTGTGTGTGTGTGTGTGTGTGTGTGTGTGTGTGTGTGTGCGTGTGTTGACAGGGCGGGTGGCTGGGCACAGGGCCCTGCTGACTGGGGAGCTGCTCAGACACTGAGTCAGATGCCACCAGGGAGAACAGACAGATCCTTTGTACAGGGAGCTCAGAGACCAGGCCCTGGGACACGCTCCCCCAACACCGTCCCCACTATGAAGCACGACGCGCACGCAGGCATACACGTCCACACACTGTACCTGTGTGCATCCGTGCACTTTTTTTTTGTGCACAAACATATTCTACAGTGCATTAATACCCATAAATACACTGATTTAAACATACGCCCATGTGTGCACCTCCCAGGACACACTCACTGCATGAACACACGGTTGAGAAAGCTTGAAAAGAAACATTTGCCAAGGAACAAGCGTTCTGCTGCGAGGATAATAATTCATCATGTAATTTGTAATTAATAATTCATCCTTCTACATTTTGCTGAGTCATTGTCAAAATATCTGACAGTGTTTTCTTTTAGTGTGCTGAAGATTTAACACTGACCAATCTGTATTAAGTTGTAACACATAAATCCACCAAATATTGACATCTCAAGTGGGGTTCTTACCTTGGCCATCTGAGCCTGCACTCCACCCGCCTTCAGCGCTGTCACTGCCTTCTGAGCTGACGCCGGACTGTCAAAGTCAACAAAGCCATAGCCTGCAGGGGCCGAGACGTACAGCAAGACATACAAGTTATGACAATGTGATATGCATACCACAGGACTCTATGGACAGAAACGTGTAAAGTGAACTCATGAAACACTCGTAGTAGTAGCGTTTGAATCTGAGGAGACACCCAGCTATGTCTGGATCTTGCTTCCCACTTGAGGACAGATGTAGAGTTATACAACACTGAGCATGTTAATGTCGCACAATACACACCTGTTAGGTGAGAATAGTGTGAAGCTTAATGGACAGTAAACATTTGGCGACTGAAAGCAAACAGCGTGACTGAGAAGAGTGTATCCGCAGTGTGCTGTGACCTTAAAACGGAAATCTGTAACTTTCCACACAGACTACAGCAGAGATGACGAACCATCTAGTGTCATGCTCGTGACTTATTTCACCACTCTGCTGTTGATATGCAGTGAAAATATTGTCAAGTGACAAGATAAGGTGTTAGTGAATTCATTATCTACTGAAGAAATTAATTTAAGTGAACAGGAGAGGCAACACACAACACAGTGGAATATTGAGCGCATCTCCAACCATTGTAAATGAATTGTTTATCCTGTGTACAGTCTGCCACACTGCTTGTTAAAATGAAATTATAGCAATGTAAAAAAATCACACATTATGGATATGGATTTCAGATTTTTAGAGTTTCGTTCAGTTATTGACTCAGAACCACGGTCGCACATTATGGAATACAAACTAAATATGCAATGAAATTATAACGGAACAATAGCAGGGATGAATTGCAACACAAATTATTTAAACAAAGGTACAGCATTCTTCACGAAGGCACCTCATATAATACAAATAACAAATAATAAATTAAAATATAATTTTTATTTCATCAAAATGTAGTGGCAATATTTATCTAAGCATAATCTGACCAGATGCAAACAAAAGGTGATACTTGTCTTCCAGACAGCTGTTATTACAAAGGTCGCAGAACCTCTGATTCTTTTATATCTTTCAGTGACGCTGGGGAATCTGTTCTCTGAAATAGCCTGTCTGTAATTTTGGTTTTCATAAAATAGGTACTTTTCCTATTCAAGCTCCTGCTGAAATCCCGCATTAAGATCACATGCTGACACACTTTTTTTTTTACAAATTGACCTTTAAAACTCTGCTCACCGGTTACTTTTTCAACCTGCCAGTGCCTTTACACCTCACCTTTGCACTTGTTAGTAGTCTTGTCCAGGATGGCCTTGGTGGATACGATCTTCCCATACCTGAAAAACAGTGAGGTTTACACTCGGGGATCATCTTTGCACTGTGTACTGAAAGAAATAACTTCTCTGTATTCATTATTAGCATTGCAACATTGCTGAGCCAATGTGGTCTCCCTCTAAACCCAATACACCCGAAGAGATTGCGCTCCGTGATGACCGAATCATAGTTCACCAGATTCCATCATTCCATCAGATTCAGTGCAATGACACCGAATATAATTACACCATCTGATAATAAATGATGTGCAAAGGGCAATCTTTAGAGAGGGGATGGAACACAAATGAAATAAGAGTAATGTCCCATGGGTTCCTGCATGCCAGAGAGGATATATAGAATACTATAGGTTTCCTATATCTTATGCATTCTAGCTAGCTCACACACATACGTCAATGGGGATTATGTCTCAAGGGGAATCCAACATGATGTGAAAATAAATAAATAAATAAATGTCGCTGCTGCACATTCAGATTGCTTCACAATGGACTATCAATATGAAAATCCTGCATCATCTACCCAGCTGCCCAGCTATGGATACTGCAGATGCACAGGATAGTGCCTGACTTGGGCAAATGCTTCTGTGAGGCAGAGTGTCTATCAGTTCGCATCTCTCCAGGCATGTGCATGCAGTGTAATCTGATATGCCTCTCCTTGGCTGTCCTGTCCAATGCTGGCTCCCAGCCATACTCTCATTCTACTAACCAGCTTCTCTCTAGGCAGCGTTAAAACCCTCCACTGGGTCTTAGTGCCCCTCACAATGCAACCCAAGCTTTCATCGCGAGACGCCACACCACCGCCACATTTTATCTGGGCTAGAAGAGTCACTTTCAAAATACACTTTATTAATAAGGATTAAGCGATGACCTGCTAAAATTGTAATCTGACAGTTAATCTGTTGGATTACTCTGAATTGGAAATGAAAAGTTACTTTAGGGTCACTTTCCCTTTAGAGAAAAAGGAATCTGTAAATCTGTACTCTGTAACAAAGATGGCTTCAAGTCACCTTGAAGATGACTATGTTTTAATGTGAGTATCCAGAAAATTCTAAATGATTGATTTGTATATTATAGATATTATAACAGCAGAATAAACTACTACATGCTGGGGATCAAAATATACAGTATGTATATATCATATAATCATTTCACTCCCTCCTTATGTTTGATTATGTCAATCCACTAAAGACGTCTCTGCAAATTGAATCCATCCAATGTTAACTGAAGATCTTTTGTATTATGCATTTGACCTCCTAAATGACATTACTATTTCATGGTGCATCTCTTATTCTAAACCATAAGGTGCAACCAACTGGACTGGGTGGATATGCCAACATTGTCTTCCTATATTTTCATATGCATCATTACTATGGGCCCACAGCCACCCACCCAGTCTCCTGCTTCACTTTATGACTAGTATAAAAGCTGTGAGCTCTGCTTGCTGCTCTTCCCTGCTTACACAGCTGAGCTGCTGAAGATACGGAGGTACTGAACAGCGCTCAGAGGTCTTGGACTACATGATGCAGAATGATAAAAGAGGGGCTAGAGACTCAGCCATGTGTGAGAGAGCACAGCATACAGAGACCAGCCCAACATCCATCCATGGTCAACCACCAAGAGAAGGACCAGGGCAAGGACCAGAGCGGCAGCGAGGCGCCCACGGAGGCAACTACAGCGGCCAGAGATGGAGAACCAACCCCCATCCCCTCTTCTCATCCCTCACTTCCTGCGCAGTACATCTCAGAGTGTGCATACAGCAACTCTCAGTGTGGGGGAGGGGGGGAGGGGGGGGCTTTAGGAGTTCTATGTCCTGGTATATGCACACATTAACTGTTCAAACTTGAGTTGAGTATGTAAAATCCCCTCCATGAATTGTCTTCCTGCTGTTTTACACCCTGATCTACAAGCATTTTCCTTATTAACTATGACTGGATAAAGTATCCTATCTCAGTCCACTTTAACTGGGAATTACATCGGCCTTAATGTGCTCTGCTAACAGGCAAATTTCATGCAGTGATTTTATCTGCTCTGTAAAAGCAGAAATATGAGAACTACCCCCACAGAACACCACCTGACACACAAACCCTGAACTCCATTCACTCCTCCCCCCTCCGATTCTCTCCACCACCGCCACCACCACCCCTCACCCAAACCCCACCTCCCCCCTCTTCATGCCATTGCCCTTGTTTGTCTTTCCCTTTCCCCTGGGCTCGCCGTTTCCTGTAGGGTTGGGCAGCCTCATGTGAGCCATATCTTCCAGACAGCTGTAAAATAGCAGGCCTCTCCCTCCCTCTCTCTCTCTCCCTCCCTTATTCAATCTCTCTAGCCCCCTTTTCCCTCCTTTTTTCTCACTCTTCTCCTCTGTTCTTCTGGTTCTCATCACCAGGCTCCAGAATTCAATTAAGTAAACCCAGATCATTCATTTCAGCCCTACTTGTTTTGATGTCTCCCACTGAAGACCTAACAAACATGTCAGATGGATCGGATGATGCTGTTGTTTGATGTCTGTCTACATGCGGCCCACAACAGTTTTCAAAGACTCGCACTCACATTGAAGAGCAACATAGGGTGGTATTTATAGTGCAGAATGTGACTTTGAATTAGAGTAGCATAGTCTCATTGTCATCGTACTGTACGCTGAAGACTAAAGCACAGATAAGCCGTAATTCATATAGGTTAAGAGTCAAAGAAGGAGCATGAGCAGACATACAGAATGAATTAGCATGAGAGAGGGAGACTAAACATTCTGTACCTAGTTGTTGGAAAGTCTATGCTTAGCTGTGCCAAACTGAAAGGTCTTAGTTTGCAGGCCAAATGATTGTTGGTTTTTCCATAAGGCCACTAAATGATGGGCCTTATAAAACATGTGGCTCTCTTCTCTGGTCCAGAAAAACCTGCTAAGGTGCACTTTAGCATTCGTGTGCACTTCAAGTGTAAGGAAGCCATCCATCTACTATATTTGCTCATGTAGTAATGCAATCCATTCAGTCTTTCAGCCAGCCATCTATCCATCCACCCATCACTCTGTTCTATCTTAATCTACTCTGCTCCTCTAACCTGGTTCGTGCTCACTGCGAGCAACCAGAGAGAGATTTATTGGGTGTCTAAATAGACAGCTGAAGCAATTGGTTTTTGGGTGACTTACGGCTGACAGAGTTTGACCAGATCCTGGTCTGTGGTTCCTGGGTGGAGGCCACGGATGTACAGGTTCGTTTTGCTCAGCTGCTCTCCCCCGCTGCTGCCGCCGCTGCTGCCACTGCCATTGCTGATGGTGTTGCTGCTGCTGTTGTTGTTGTTGTTGGGGCTTGGAGGAGCCATCTGATGGTTGGAAGGGGACACATACGTCTGCTGCAACAAGAACAAAGAGTGTAGTTACATTTGGGGTGGCACCGTCGCACACAACGCAATTGAATGGATGCATACGCTGATGTAGTAGCTAACTGAACATGAAGCAAGAACAGCTGGTTAATGGTCCACTAACTGACTCGCTCAAACTACAGGCTTATGAGGAGAAAATCAATTAAGGACACAATTAGCCAGAGCGTGAGCAACAGTGGCTGGTTAGCCTAATGACATGGTGTCAAACATCCAAATGGGGCCAGAGTCAGAGCCAGGATATCAATAGCAATTTCACCGCTTCATCTGACTTAATAGGTCAGCTGAGACGAGATGACATGGAACATAAAAAGGAGAAGAAGAAACAAATATAAGCCAACATTTGTAAATAGGTGAAATAATGCAAACATGTATATTATGCCATTTATGCATGAAGAACACTAAACTATGTAAGACTGAATGAGCAATGTGTACATGCTCATATTAAAAGGTCATAATAAGCTGTTAGACTAACTTGTTTGTTCTTATTTTGCATATGAAAACAATAAAAATGAACAAGGTCATAATAAGATCACAGGGGTGTATTTTTTAGACAGTGTATTACAGGATCTGAATGTGTGGTGATTTATCAAAAAATAAATAAATCAAGTCAAATCTGATCTGTAAGCAGCAGGTTACACAGATAAATAATTAGCCTCTGGCCTCTACAATACATCCTGCTTGACTGGGAGGTGAATGAAGATTGGCTCTACAAGTCAGAGTTTGACAGTTAGACGTTTCTGCATGTTTACTATTCATTTGTGCAAAAGTCAAATTTATTTTTTGAACACTAATGATCCAGCACTTAATGCTGAAAGATTGAATGTTGACCGTATCTAGTAAAACAGCGTTGCCTTTAAACGTGTTTAACATGCATTAGTGACGGCTGACACACAGAATCATTGTCTATGACACGGTACACCTGTTGCTTTAAACTGTAAATGTTGAGACATAACCTTAATTATTATATGTTTAAGAATACCAATCAAAATGACCTGATTTTGAATAGTACTTAAACTCAGAGAAATGATACTTTTGGCAGACATGTAAACAATAAAAAAAATTATAGCATGTGTGGGAACTGAACCATGTTACAAATGCAAGAACAAAGAGTGTAATATTAAATCTGGCTGGAATTATTGTGGCTCAATGAGAGGCTTTTATGCTGCGGGTTGAGGCTGAAACAGTTTTCATTGCGAGTATTTGAAACAGTTCCAATCAAAACTGTTCACAGGGAGATCTGCGGATTATCAACAGCAACCAGGACATTGTTTCTGGAGAGAAACGTTTATATTTTCTTTTTCCAATTTCATTTTTCAGTGCTTTGAGCAGCACAAACCATATTCTATTTACCACTACTGTCTCGGGGTGTTGGCGGAAATCTCGAAACCTAAACTGTCTGCATGACTAGATACCACTGAATGTGTTTTTAGTACTAACGCAGTACAGTATGTACAGATTTGTGCATATAACTGATACATTTTTCAACATTTCTTATTTTTACTGACCATAGTTTGAAACTGAAAGTCTAAATTGAATTTGTCAGGAAGGGAAATGTCAGATAGCCTAAGTTTGGCCATAGTGTTGCCTTCCTCTCTTCGCTGGAGGAGGAGGAACCGTTTGATTAGTTATGGTCAGCAGGCCCGGCCCCAGGGAACAATGGGGTGGCTTGTTGGACACCACAAGGTCAGCACTGGACCACCAGCTTGTTAACAGAGAAGGAGCTGTCAAAAGACTGCTGGAATCAAGCTAATTAAGGCTTCTCTACTCCTCTCTGCTGCGGCTCTGTTCAAACCAACTAGTACAAGTGTAATTCAGACTCACTCACAAATCTTTGAGGGATAATCATTTTTTTACAAAATTAAAACAAATATTTTAAAGTTTAAAGCATGTTTCAAACAGTGGTTTGAAAAATTATCAACAGGATTTGGAAGTTTAAAAATAAGATTTGAGTAGGCTACGTATTCTATAATCAAAATACTTGCACTGTTGCATAATTCAATTTGAGAGATACAAATTGGGTCTGAAAAATGCTGAAAACTGTCTACTATGCCTGGGCGAGAAAAAAGGAAAAATAAACAAATCCTGTTCGTTTGGCTCCAACAAACCACAAAGAATCAACTAATAACACTCCAACCGAACACATGTTTACTGGCCACAAATCACGTCAAACAACACAGAAGTGTTGTTAAATGACACTTTATTCTTTGTTATTGGCTACAGCTGGATATCCTCCTGCCTCGGAAGCAAGTTAACTTGTACGTTAACGTTGGATGCACATATCACATTAATTCCCAATCTAACGTTAATTAATGTTAGTGACACTAACAACAACATTAAGTTTATTACTCCTGGATAAAATGTTGTCTAATCCTTTTAAAAGTGTCATTACAAAACTTTAAGCCCCTCTGACACATGGGGTTAAAATCTATAACATATCTTAATCTATCTGATGTAGTTGAGGTAAAGCATCCAGACTTTTCAAAATAATGTTACTGGTTTGTGTTTATTATTACCTCACAGTATTTATGATAATGGACACGGTTATTTAAATGTGTTCCCTCTACATAGACCAGATGAGTATCATCCCACTGCAGATCTTTATCCAGCTGATTAACTGTCTACAGGTAGGATGACATGGTAAATGACATATTATGCTAATTATTAAAATCAAATTAAGATGTAAGATAAGCATGTATGAGAATGCATGTCTGATTTTCCAAAACAGATTTTTTTTTTTACCTCACAGCTAAACCTGGACTGCAGGAAAATGTGTACTCTGACCCGAATTCATTCCACAGCACGACAATCAATGAACCTTAACACACAGCCAGAACTTTAAAGAACTATCTTCAGCCACGAGGAGTCCTGCAACAGGCAGTATGGCCCCAACAGAGACTCTGATCTCAACATCTTGGAGTCAGTCTGGGATTACACGAAGAGATAGAAAACACTGAGGCAGCCTAAATCCACAGAAGAACTGAGGCACGTTCTACAAGATGCTTGGAACAACCTACCTGCCAAGTACCCTGAAAAACAGAGAGGAGAGGTGGTGCTATTTTAAAGGCAACGAGTGGTCACACCAAGTATTGACTTGATTGATTAAATAAAAACTATTCATGGCATTGTTTTTAAAAGCATCCTCACTTTACTTTTCCAGCCTATTGCACTGTACTATATGTGTAATTTAGTAACATTCTCTCAGACATGACTGACATGAGAAACACCAGTCATTCGTTTTCCACTACCCAGCTGCCATATGTTTCCCAAACTGTTTTGGAATCAGCCTTCAGAGCCTCCTCCCTGTCTTTTTAGTTGAGCGGAGAAAATCACAGTGACTCACAGACCCCATTCATCTCGGTCCTCTTCTCTAATCTCCCTCTCTTCTTTAGCATCAATAGTACACTGTTTGTTTTTCCACAATCACAGGCCCTTCCTGTGCTTTCCCTTGCCTTCACTGTAGGCGGCTTGCACAGACTATCAGGAGGGATGCACCTGCAGAAGCCTGGGGAGATAAAATCTGACAGGAGACCGAGTCCGGGCCCAGGCCTGGCTAGTGAGGCCTGTCTAATTGGGATCTGAGCTTGTTAGCGGAAAGTGCTAATCCCTCTCATGTGCTCTCTAGTCAGAAGGTAGTGTCTCATTAAGACCGCTCTGCTAGGCTCCTTCTGAGAAAAGGATGGCAGTGAGTCAGCTCCACACCTACTCCCCATCTGCCCCAGTGCCCAGCGCCAGCTCCAGGTGTTTTGCCACCCATGTAAGGTAATGCCCAATGTGCTGCTGCAAACACGGGCAAACATCCATGCAGAGGAACAGAAATGCAGTTAAGAAGGTCAGAAAGTATGAGAGTCTTAAATGTGCATGACTGGGAATCACAAATCTAATTTTACAGCCTGTAAAAGTGCATATCCTCTCAGTTAGTCCGTGCCCAAAACCTGACCTCCTGACATGTTACTGATTTCCTTCCACATTATCTGTTTACACTGCTCCTTACATGCACCGCAGTGTCATCTCTGAGCATTCTTTGCATTCCTTTGCAATACACAAATGTTTGTGTTTCTCTCCTTGAAGAGGAAAGGGGTTGCGGAGGGGCATATGTTGGGTCTAAGATCAGAGCTGAAGCTGTCGTTGTTAAATTGAACTACATTCCTGGAGGCATCACAGTTCTGTGGGAACTAGGCTTCCTGACAAGACAAGATCAACTCTGAAAAAATGCAGGAAATCCTCCTGTGCGCGCATAAAACATACGAATTTACAACTGACATACTAATATTGGATCAAAAAAGGCATTTAATTTTACAATATGATATAACTTTATCCCTTCTGCCAATGAACAATTGATGCCCAGTTGCTTTCAGCCACTGGGCAGAGGGAAGACGGACATGTATACAACTCTCACATCCCCATTAATATCAGAGTACGCAGTTATAGTCGCAGAAAGATAAGTCAGCTCTTTGTGTTATTATTATAGTTGTGCAGGAAGCATAACCACAGTAAGTGGCCTACAGCATGGTGCAGAGAGAGGGAGTGTGCGCCACACAGCAGCTGAAGACTGATGAGGTGATTACAGTTGGAGGGAGCAGAGGTGATGCCTGGAGGGACCGCAGGTGACTCAAGGACTTTTTCATCCGAGAGAGAACAATGAGTGCTAAGTGAGGCAGGATGTATGCCTTTAACTTTGTAGTGATAGCAAGGGTATGAGCCTGATTGTGTGACACTTGAATGCTACATCTCTCTGGCACTATAGATGCTGAGGCTGCTCACACAATCTTCTTAGTTCTGTCAGTCAGCTTTCTTTATCCCCAAGACAGGGATATCATTTCCTACAACATGTGAGTGTCAAAAATATTGAATATTTCAATTAGCTCCAGAAGAAAATGCATTTTGCTTATCATTATTAATCTACTGGTACTTTCCATTACCGTACAGTAACATTTCAAACATGCAAACTGTCAAAATCACTATCTCTATATTCTAAGATTTATCATTTATGCCTGTGCTGTGCAACAAGTATATGTTTATGAATACATGAATGAGAGAGAAATATCTTAAATATGGAGTCCTACCTGTTTGGCTAAAGAAACCTTTATAGGCACCGTGGAAAAGATCATAGTGTTACAGACACAATCTCTTTATATTATCTTTCTGCTGCTGCAGGCAAAAAAAAAAAAAGTAGTGCAAGCACGGAAGAACCAAATGAGAAAAGTGATGAAAATCCTTGGTGTCCTGTGGCTAAAAGGTGAGACTTCTCCTTGCTCTCCTGACTCAATCCGGTTTTATTACAAAGGAAAATCTTTTCTAAAAAGTCTGTTTTCAACAGGTATCAAACAAGCTGAAGAGACCAGAAAGTACATTCATCAGTTAGGAGGAATGTTTAGCCTCTCTTCTCCATGTGAACTGAACCACTGACAGACAAGAAATCAAGGTATGTGAAACACAAGGGAGGAAGAAAGAAAAAAAAAAAAAAAAGACTGGGGGCAGTTAATCGAAAGCAGAAGGGGGGAGGGGGAGGGGGTCCTCTTAATCCTTTTCTCCGCCCTTTTTCTTGTAGTAAAAGACACAGACCAAGGGGGTTAGCACTTGACGCTGGATTTACAAGTCCTCTCTCTGTGTGACTTTGGCACTCTAACAATGCAAAATGTGTAAAATTAAAAAAAAAAAAAAAAAAAGTGTGAGTGTGCATGTCTTCTTTCAAGGAAAGGGTTTAAGTTTGCAGAGCCCCTCTTGAAATGAGCACATTGTCTGAATCCAGGATTCCAGGAATTCCAGGTCATTAATCTGAGCAATCTGAATTCCTGCCAGCCGTGAGGCAGGGAAGGGAATAACACAGGCAAGGAGGGAGGTGTTTGATTTCAGCTTTGTTGAGACATTACTCAAGAAATGCTGCAAGTCAAGCATCTACATACTTCATCGGCCAATCCAAGTCACAATTGAGCTATAACGTTATTTGACAGATTCTGGGATGAAATCTTAATAGTTAAACAAAATCTTCTAAAATCAACATTCAAAATTCTCCAAATCCTAAACGTGTCAGTTTACACTATAGCTGTAAACAATCTGAACCAATGCTAGAATCTCTACATGTCCCAGAATGTATGCAGCCTACAGTGCGTACAGGAAAAGAGGTTGAAAATAGAAACAATGTCACCCCCATGAATTATTCATGTAAGAACACAAAGTAATCAATATTGTACCTCATATAATGTTTGTCCTGCAAACTACACACCTCATATGGCCACATATAAGACATCAATATAGAACCTCTTATATGGGCTCTGTAACTTTCCTCCTTTTCATAGAGCCATGCAAACCCTCAGTCATCATTAGCAGGACTGAAGGGGTGGGGCATATCTGTACGCGTAAAAGAGAAGAAAAAAAAACTTTGCTAACTTGTAGTTAATTCAATGAAAACATTACTTAAGCGCAGACACGGTTGATTGAACCCCCATAAATACATATAAAAGTAGAATATGAATCGCTTTTACTGGCTTGTTCGGCGCCTTACACGAGCATCTACAGCCAGTTTGAAAGCGGTGCTGTGTGTGTGTGTGTGTGTGTGTGTACAGGCTGGGTATAGGAAGAGAACAGAGACCGTATCGGAACAAACGAAAGCAAACTGTGGCAGTAATCTACAGGCAACAATGTAATGTAGTTTGTAACAATGTCACCCTAACGTCAAAAAGCCGACAGCGAAGGTTGCAACGGCAAGTAACAAGAGTTTAAGCGTCGCCTGTGATCCACTTTCAAGGACACTGCAGCTTAAAACAGCCGAGCAGCTTCTAACTGGAGAGGCAGATACTCGAACAGCCCCGCATCGAGAAATGACTCTGTAATTCAGCAAGAGAGGGCAGAAGTACAGGCTGTGTTGTTGTTATTTACCTTCTTGTTGTTTTTGCCGGTGTAGCCGTTGTACGGGTTGATTCCTGTCCTTGGCGGCACAGAGAGCAGCATTTTTACACGGCGCTGTGTCCGGAGGAGCGGAGGAGCGGAGAGCCAGGGCAGTCAGCTGACGTCAGCCAGGGAGACTCAGCCAGGGAGCAGCGGTAGTGATTGGAGTCGCTCTTCCCAGCTCTCACTCTATACACTGGCGTTATGCTTATGTGCTATATCTGACTATATCTCAGGGGTTCGAGCCCAGGATCCCACACAGCTATTCTCTGCTCACTGACAGCACATGCGATGTATACCTAAATATATCTTTGCAATAACTTCCACTAATACCAGTGTTCATCCAAATAACCCAGCAGGATTTAGGATTTGGTGAAGAAACACAGAACTGTTTGTGGGTTTGCCTGGTCCAGGCTCTTAAAAACTGATTTCAATATTTTATATAAAAGGTGCAAATTGTGATTTTAAGACTTTGAGCAAAAGCATGGACGTTGCCTCTTGAATCCCACGTGCTAGTCTTTCAGTCAATCTTTTTAGCAGCTGGTTTCAGTGTAGTTCTGGTCAAGAGACAATAATGCACCAGAAGTGCGAAGGAATAGCCCACTATATTTCCTGAGTAGGAAGTACACATGACTCACCATGACCTGGAATAACTTTTAGCTTTATAAACGTGAAAAAAAAAATCCTGAACCCTGTGCTGAAGCAGTGAAGGGGAAGTTACCGAAATCTGAAGGCAGCCAAAAACATCTGAAACGTGTTTGTAGTAGCAACATTTTGTTTTAAAACCAGTATAGATGCAGCACAGTGTTTATTTCCTAGTTGTGAAACAATAAACTGTTCTAATGAAGAGTTCAATAAAACTATTGTGCTTGTAAAGGATAATTCAGGGTATTTTTAGCCAGTCCCTTATTTTCTCAGTGTTTGCCATTGTTTCATTAAAACTTAAAGCTTCACTGCTGTGTTGAAGTGTTGTGTTGTAGTTCCAAGTCTTTTGGAGCAAATGCTTTAAAGCATGCACAAAAATACACACAAGTTCAGCTCCAACATTTGATGATAATCCATCCAGTGTGAGCTAATGTCATCCACAAGCTTATTTAAGTCAAGAGGTGGAGGGAGGCAGCTAAAACAAAATCTCACCTGTGTCTCTAAAAAGACTAAGGCTCACCCCGGTCACCTGATAACAACATGAAAAATAAGACTAATGATTTTCCAAGTGTCACATCCTCATCTTCTAATCTGGACCATTTTTGTTAATTGTGACCTCAGTTAATAGCAACATTTGTATTTTGCAGACGAAACAAAGCAAGGGATGTATAACAATCTGATTATCTGGTTATTCTCCTTTATATTTTGACCCTTTTGTCAAACTAAGCAGATGTATCCCCTAAAGGTGAAAAAGCTTTGAAACAGTATATATACCTTCACGGTGCACTAAATAAAGGGCATTTATCCATAGCTAACAGTTGTTTAAGGCTGGATAACCAATGCACCAGCCCTCTGCTGCCTTTAGATAAAGAATACATTCAAAACAATACTATTGGAAATTAAAAACATGGACAAAATAGGGAAAGAGCTTAAAGTGTTCTACACGCTTTGTGTACTGTAGTTATGTGAGCACAGATGAGTCCATCAGTACATTGAAGTTGGTCTGATGTCATTGCAATGTATTAATCAGAAAACCATGGTGTTCTCTCTTTGCTGTGCTACTGTCTATGACATTTAGAGACAATGGTAAAATTAAATGTATTACGTTGCACTACTTTTGCAATAAACCAATAGTATACATCAGACATAGTTGCAAGAGATGTAAGTTATACTGTATGAGGATACTGTGTTGTTCAAACCTCACAGTAATACCCATCTGAAAATATACCTGATATTTGCCATGGTGGGATGTAGCTGGAGCTATAATTCTAATTTCCATTTTTCCATGTTTCTGAATCTGACCCTAATTTGAAAACAACTCTTGATAAATAAGATAACTGCCTATATTACTTCACATCCCTCTGTCTTTTCATGCTTTTAGATGCCTCTCCACATATGAATAAAAAAGTGTTTGTATCAACAGAAGTTGCTTGGCAACTAAATCCCCTGACCCTTTTGTCTTGTCTTGCGTACCCTGACTGATTAACCCTCAAGTGTGTAGAAAACATATGCAATTGTTCACTCAGCCATACAGTGTGCTTCTTTTTCTAGCCATAGCATTTGCAAAATGCATCTACATCTGCGAAACTCAGGCTCACAGAAAGACAGAGGACAGGCCTATATACTTGTGTTGATCTACATGCACAAGGGATTTCATCCTGATTTCATCATGACGGTCTAGTCAGACAGATGGGAGAGGCTCAGCTGAATTCATAATCTCTCCCTCTCTCTCCCACACACACATGCACACAATGTCAAAACTTGAAGCATTGGTTGCATTTGCATAAAAATAACATTATTCTGTTTTGCCATCATTCTCTCCGGTTAGATATTGATGCTTTTTCGACTGGACCCTTTCAGACCACAATTAGGTCACCCAGTGTCGTTCACTCCCCCTGTTTCGATCTATGCAATGTTTTGATATGCGTGTGCAAGTGTTCAGCCAGATGGGCTGCGAGTTCCACAGAGCTCAAGGACAGTTTGGGGAGTGACTCAAACAGCAGAGGGCCGGAGCCAGCCAGCACGTACTGTGAATTTACCGATAATGGGAATAGTGGGGGCTGTTGGGAGCTGTGGGTTCTTGGATAGGGTTTCTTCCACCAACAGATATGAAAAAAAAAGATGTGATTGTAACTGTATACTACAATAGAATTTTGTTTATCAAGCAGTTTAATCTAGAATAATATAGAGCTGAAGTATGTTTCCTGGCAGAACAACCAAAAAGTTACATAAAGTAACACCTGCATATCTACAAATCCAAGATTCATTTGAAAAATGTCATGGTGAACTTTGTGTTGGACTGGGGCTATTGCTCTTGTGGGTTGTATGGGGGGAGGGTTGCAGATGGGGGAGAAGTTAGGTAGGGTTGGGGGGTGGGGGGGTGGAGAACACAGGCTGCTGGTGCATGCTCCGCATTCCTCAGGTGTTGTCAGCATAGCTTGCTCAGTAATTACCTCTCTGTGAAAAACATGCACAAAGCCACACTTTACCAGCAAACCGAAGGGCAGCACCCGCAAGGAGGTGTCAGGGGAGATGTCAAAGACAGATGGGCGTATGTTTATATTTACATGAAGGCATAATATGAACTGGTTAATGGCTATTTTTTTAATGAGTGCACCAGAGTAAGATCTTTTGAAACATTACTTGCCTGGTGTACTGCATACATGTAGTACAGCTACAGATGCAGATTGTGACTGTGTGAGGGAGCCAGCAACTTGATTTATGCAGCAATCCATCTTCTCTCAAGGATACGGGCAGGTTGGGTAATGATCGTAGCCAAGCAGACCTTGGCATGTGAATCTAGTGGTGTGATACAGATGCACAGTTGCAAAGACGGTGGTTAGCCTTCACACACACATACTGATTTTTTCTTTTTCTTTTTTTTTTTTTTTTTTTTTTTTTTTTAATTTTGCAGACAGGTTGTAGATTGTTGTGGTCCTCCCTCTGCATTCTGCTTTTCATTGTTTCTTTCAGATGTCATCACTTTAATCACTGACACTACTGTCAAAGAAGAAGCAGGTTCTCCCTTCCTGGGAATGCTTCTCTCTCACTTTCCTCTCCTTCCTTTGCCCCCGCTCTGTCTCCTTGGCAGGCTTGCTAAAAGCTGAGGGATTGTGTGCAGATGTGCCTGGAGAGAGGCCAGCCCCTCTGCCCTGGGAGAACATGTGGTCTGGGAGTGTTTACGCTGGCACTCTTTCAAGCTGTCTCCCACACAGCATGCTGGCGTCTGTCTCTGCTGGATGACAATGCTCAACCCTCCTCCCACAAAGGGGGCATTCTCAGGTTGAGGTGACACCAGCAATCATGTTGATTCGCTGTGTTGACAAACAGGAGAGACAGCAATGTAGGTAAAAAGTAGACACATTTGCGAACATTAACAAATTGTGTTTTCCAGTCAACTTGAAAAGGATCTTTATTGAAATTCTTGGAGCGTATAGATTAGTTACAGGGGGGGAAAAAAAACATTTAAAATGCTTCTATTCTAACTATTTCCCCCTAACTTTTGCATTTATATTTTGTTTTCACCCTCAGAGTGAAAATATGCTTGGATTCAACAGATATCCAGACACTTGAGGCATGTTTTTCACAGATTCTCCGCATACTTCACATTCTCCCCTGTGATTCAGGTTCTGGGTAAACATCTGTAAGCTGAAACCCCCTGAAAGGCACGTTTATTCTTAACACCAATGGCAGTACAGTTACTGTCAGTTTGTGTAGTGTGAATTACACACCTGTTGTTTTTCATATCTAAGATTACATGCCAGTGGGAAAAGAATACAAACACTGCATATCACCATAGATTTGCAGGAGGAGTCATTAAGAGCATTTCAGTTACCAAATGGCTGCGGTTCAGAGCAAAGATCCTCTCATGCTCTGTTTTCAACCAAATCACTCTTTGATCAGAGCTTTCTCAGAGGGTGTGCCATGTAAAATTGACCAAATATTTTAGGAAAATGTCGGGTTCATTTTGTCATGTTAGTAAAATGAGTTACAGGCTGCACGTCTCTCTTCAATGTAAGTATTCAGTGCCCCCTGCAGGTTCAGATGGTTTATGGGACTACACAGTCATATATTCACAACTCTTCAACTCTTCACAACAGTTAAACAAAGATTAATGTAGTTTCTTCAAAGCTATAAATACATCATTCACTCTGCACTTGCTTTGTGGAAGATATTTTGATAAGGCAATTAATCGCAAATCCTTAATTTTCATTGAAGATGCCTAAATCTGTTAATATTTACTTCATTGAGGCCATCTACCGTGTGTATTCCTGCAAGGGCTGATTTACTTTGTTAACTTTTCTATATTTGATGTCACTTAGTGTTCTATACCAAGGTCTGGTTATGTATATGGATAATTTGTCTTATACTCAAAGTTGTGCATACTGCTTTTATAATGATAAATCTTTAGAAACCTTAAAATCTCTCTAGATTATTGAAAATATTTTGGGTCTTATTGTTAACTAAAATAATTATTAATGTAAAGGGCTGGGGGATGTACTGTAGGTGACAGTCCAGATTGATTTAGATCTTTGTTTTTGTCCGCAGCTTTGGCAACCAGTCATATAAGTACTTGCTATAAAATACAATAACATATTCCTTTTGTGATGAATTACCTTCTCTTGAAACTGGGGAAACAATTGTACATGTTCAGATATCCAAAAACATGCAGCCATATCCATTTCATTACAATCATACTGATTTTTAATTTCCATGTACCACTAGGGGGCGTGATTTAGTGAAGAACACGGAGGTTGAAGGGCCTCCACAAGATACACATACACCTCTCATGGTCTCACTGCATTCTTACCCATTTTGACTTGGGAGGAACTAGGTGCAAACTCTGAGTGTGAAAGTGTGAGTAAAAACAAAGCCAATAAGATTACACGATTTAGTTTAGAGTTTATAGACTAAAATCTATTTTAGGACTCTATTAGATACTGCTTGCATGTTATCTTGAAAAGATTTGTATAATATTGTTTTACTGACAATCTTCTCATTTAGAAGTTGGAAATATATAAATATCCTAGACTTTAACCAAAAACGAGCCTCAGACCTACATTAAGTCTGAAAAAAACTATTCATGGCAGGAAAAATTCTTGGAAGCAGGAATTACATTCAGCAGCTGTGAACAAGGCTGGATTAGGCCCAACCGAAATAACTGTTTTAGTTTATATTGTGCTCATTTGTTATCATTTGTTTTAAAGTTGGGCTTTCTCAAATTGCTTCCAAACCCTTGGCTAAGGTCAGATTTTTCCATCATAGAAGTACTGAAAGAATGCAAACCACAATTATTCTCATCACCAGTACATCCGACAATTATTTTCATCAATAATCGATTGATTATTTAGTATAGGCTATGAAATGTCAGAAAATAGTGAAAATGCACATCATTGGTTCCTTACTAACAGTCAAAAAGTCCAACATTTGGGATTATTGTGTTTATTGCATAATTTTGGTCATAAAAACCGAGAAACTAGCAAATATACACATTTCAGAAGCTGGTATCAGTGACTTTCTGGAATTTTAGCTTAAAAAATGACTGTTGCCAGTTAAATTTCTACCAGTGGAATAATCAGTTAATCAACTGATTCCAGCTCGAGAGTACTGGCTGGTTTCTGGGAGATAACTGCCATGTACAGTGGGGGTCAACAGGGACCCGGCTAAAAAAAAAAATCAACAATGTTGAGCCAACATGGCTGACCGCAGAGCGCCAGTTGCAGTCGCCGCCTCTCTCTCCCACCTCCACGGTTGATGAAAAAGAGCATGAAATAGGAGAAAAGGAGGTGTGTTGGAGCATGCGCAGACCGTGCTCGCCGCTCAGTTATCCCATTTTCGTAGAGTCGAGCGTTACGTCACGGGCTCGTCCACAGTGCTGGAGCTTGAGAGATTCACCATCCACTCATGCAGTCACAAGCACAGGGAGACGTTGGCGCTCCGAGCTAAAAAAAAAACAACAACAAAAAACCAAACAAAACGCTTTTACTTTTTAAATTTTTTCTTTTTTAGTTTGGCACCACGGAATGAGCTGAGCGGAGCCGGCGACTGCAGGGCTGTACGAGTGGACGACTCTGGTGGCATGGTGTGCTGAAACAGAGACCCCAGCAAGCACAGAGAGACAGAGGTTGCACTGTGCATCATGTTTGAATGCCGATAATCAATTAGAAATATACATGACTGTGCTGCTGCATTGCCTATAGCCTCGCCGGGCTGTAGCAAGTCGCCTTTTATTGAAGAAGCCCGTCTGAAGCGGCCACCGTGCGGGGCTGAGGGTGCAACTGAACGGACAATCGCACCCGGACCATTGAGGGGGTTCGGATGAGGTGGTTGATCGGGTTGTTCGGTTTGAGAAATCCAGCCAACTTTTTCTCTATTCCTTTCTAACAGCAGTGCCATCGGGCATTGCTCAGGAGATGGCGATGAGGTTGTTCTACTTGGGATTTATACTCTACTTGGAGATCGTATCTCCTAACGGTGCAACCGTAGGTAAGAAGCCTGTTGTGTTATCTTGCATTGTGATACTCGAGAAAGCATGACCACTTTTCTTTTTTCCTCCAAAGCATCTCTGCACAGGCCTATGTGTTCACCGGAGTTGGAGCCAACACCGCAAATAGGTTGTCTCCATAATCAGACTGTGTGCCACAGCAGTCTCCTCAGAGGGGGAGATCGATCATTAGGAAAGCCTTTAATCAGAGAAAGTACCGCACAAATAAGCAGTGGCCTAAAATCTGTCTGCGTCTTTTAGCAGAGCTCCTGTGTGAGCAGACAGAATGGGCCTGTCTGCCTACGAGGATGGCAGACACTGAGGTTATTCACAGTTGGAGTATTCAGCAGGTAAAAGGCTATCGCAAACACTTGCTTGAGCGACCCATTTCCACAGAACGACATCATTTCTGACTGACTGACTGCGACAAAATGGCTATATCCTCCCCTCTCCGTTTCCCAAGAAAAATACAATTCCTCATGTTCCTCCGTATGGCGACAGCTGATCGCCACCATTCAGACCACTACGTGCTGCTTTAAAAAAAAAAAAAAAAAAAAAAATTATTCCTAGAATCAGAGCAGCACGCCTGAGTTTCCCATCAAACCTGTGGCAGCCATCGGCCAGATCAGTTTTCATGTTTGTTTCCAGTCAGGCTACTTGGCGCATATGAAAACAACAGTTGTGTTTGCTTGTTAAGGTGTAATCTTAATGGCGCGGCTTGTCCCGCTGCCTGAGAACCACAGTTTATTAGTGACAGCCAGGTACAGTCTGATAGTGAAATGAATAGTCGTGCAGTTATCCTCTTAACGTCCCCGGAGCTCCTTAATACTCCCGAATCCCTGATAGTAATAATGAGATACTAAATGCACCATTGCTCTTCTGACAATGCATTGCAGACCTGTTGAGCTAACAGCTTGCTTTTTTCTTTCTTGAGCTCTTGAAGGGAAACATGAAGGTACAAAATAGCACATATCATATTCAGGAGTCTATTTGGAGTCATCCATAATATTTTGTGGCTGTAAAACAGTGTTAAAAGAAGTCTCTAGTACTGAAGTCCTCTGTCCCATCCAGGTCTGATCTGACAGCCTTGTATATGGAAAAATATTTGTATATATCAGTCTGACAGTTTATTTCACTCTTTTAGTCTGTGTTTACTTTGATGTGGTAACACATTAAACCCTTAACTTTGCCACTAAAGCCAGCTACTGCTACTGCGCTTCTCTGCTTTGGAAGATCTTATGTAAGATTCATTAGGTTTAGATGGAGGCTGAAAGCTATAGCTAAGGTTACAGGAGTCTGTAAGCTCCTCCCTCCTCTTCCATCAGTATGTAACATCTGGACACAGGGAGACCATTAATCCAACTTAGATGTGACTTAAAAGGAGTGGGGGGGGGGCTGAAGAGCTTGGGTTGAAGGCGGGTGAAGCGAAATAAACTTCAACAATCAGTCTTGCATACTCTCTGAAACAGACACATAGTTACATCACAGGGAGTCGGAGATGGAAATGTGGATGGATGATATGTGTGTTGTGTCATTATTAACATTTGATTTACCGGCCTCCCTCTGGAGCAGTGTTGGTCCAAAAGGGTAGAAAGTGAGTGGATACAAAACCCTAAGGCCAGCCACTTGGACTGGATTTGTCTGGATCACCACTGGGCCACAGCATGAATTTATGAATGGGAAAGGATTAGTGACAGGAGGGTCAGAAGGCCATAGTTAACAGTTAAACATTGGACAGACCTCTTTGTTTGTTATTGATCTTTGATGTTGACCAGAGTTTATTATTGTGGCACTTAAGGCGTCATCCTTTTAGACTGACAAAATCCAGTGTAGTGCTACATAGTACTTAAAGCCTAGTCCTAATTAGTCCTAATTAATCCATGGTTTTATGAGGGGATATGACGAAACGTGAATACAGTTTGAATTGATGATTGTTGACATTTGTGATGCAATTAACAATTATTTTGATCAGTGATTGATCAGCAGACCATTTTGGCAGTTACTTCATTAATTGTTTGGTGTACAAAATGCAAAAAAAGAAAAAGAAAAGATCAACCAAACAATTAATCAACGGAAAGAATTGTTTTTCAGTATTGATTGATTCGTAGCTTCAAATTAAATTCTGCATATCATGCAGCAAAACAGCAGTATGTTGAAGTGAACCCCTTCATATTCACTTACTGTTTGGAATGATATCATCAATAAAATGTCCGGGCTGGATAACATTGTGACTGCTGAGCTTTAAGTACAGGATCTCAACCACCTTTAGAGGCAGACGCATTCTGTTGGTGAAAAGTGTAAATGTGGGTCAGAGGCTAAAGAGGTTGAATTCCTGAGGAGCCTACACTCTGTTTGCCTGACCTTTTTATTGGGACCAGGCTATACCTTTTCCTCAGAACTGTCACTGGAAACATCTGCTGGAAAAATTCAGCATCCTTCATACAAATTCAACAGATAATAGAACTTCGGATTGCTCTCTGCAGCTCTTCCAAGTGGAGGTCACTGGGGAGTGGTTATTGTAACTCTGTACACCTGAGGCTATCTGTTGACTGCACTCTTATCAGGTAACACAGATAATACCCAGAATCATTCTCTGCCATTTAGAGTCATTTTGCAAAGAAACAGGATAAAAAAAAAAAAGCATAAATATTTGGAGTGAAATATAGCCGAGTGTCCAGTTTTGATACATTCTTTGGCTTGGCTTCATGAAGTCTGATGTAAAGCTTATGTGCAGGTGTTTTGCATTTAGGTCTGAACCTAGTGAAAATATTTGTGAAATGATAATAGCAGACAGTGGGATTTTTTTAACCGTAGCTGCAGAAAAGATCCCCCTTTTTTCTCCCTCTACTTCCTGCACTGCATTGCAATCAACTGTGACTAGAAGGTAAAAGCAGATTAACATAAATGTCTTCAGTGTTGTTCCCTACATATCGAAGGCGTGAGAGCGCAGATGAAAGAGTGTTTGTTGACTGTGAATAGCAGGGGTGTACTGTAATTGGTGTTTTCTGCTAGCTACATCACTGTTTACCCTGTTTAGCTCCTAAGACCCAAAAAAGGAATAGAGCGGGAGGCTTCTTTCACAAAATAGGGAGTGTGGGTGTGTGTTAATGCAGCTCTGCAAGATTCATTGGGTTTTTGTAGGTGATTAAATCAGGCCATGTCTATGCATTTCTGCTTTCCTTTCCTGTCATTAATATAATGATGTCTCTAAGAAGTTCTTTTCTTTGTGTAAGATATCACACATGAACAAAGCACATTTTAGTTACGGGCATGAGAAATAGGTCTGTTTTTCTATGCACTTCATAAAGAGAGTACACAGACTTGTTCAAATGTTACAAAGGGTTGCAATGTTTGCCTGACACCTTTCACAGCTGTGAGAATACTGGCTTTACCCACTCACGCTCATGTATGCCTCAGAAGTTGCCGATGTTGCTGGCTTTGCGCTTGACTGGAGAATCGATTTGATCGCAGGCACCCTTGGTTGCTTTCACACCTGGTCAGAGTGGAGGATCTGATATATGGAAATAAGATTCCAATTTCATGGACTGCTGCAAAGTGTCAACGCTGTTTACTTTCATCAGAGCCAGCCATGGCTTTCAGTCATTGGATGGTGGTTGTACATATACCAAAAATTAATGCTTTCTGTGTCGTGGCAAAGATACTGACACAATTAATTTCTTTTTTATGGCACTTCTGTGTGGTGCTTGTCTGATATACCACTGCTGGTACGTCAGCGTGATATGACGATACCGTGAGATGATATAAATTTGTCAGAGATTTTACCATACTTTATGGGAATATTGGATTTTTATATGATAAAGCAATATAAAATAATTTCTACTCTGATACTCTGATCCACCCCTAACAGCTAGTAATCAAAATAATCCACCTGATGGCGTAAATACCTCACCATTTTGATCTACTGTGCTGTAACTTCACTACATTTAATCTGGTAATTTGCACCCTCATCAACAAGTAGTCCGTCAGATTACTTCAGCACAGCAGCTCAAACCGACGAAGAGATGTGGGCTCTTATATAACCAGCTGATATAACTGACCATCTGCTAGCGCAATATACATATATATATATATATATATATATATATATATATATATATATGTAGGAGGTAGCATGTCCTTCAGTACCTCTCCACTTACAAAATGCACTGCAAATGCATGGTGATGACATAAACTGAAAGCATCCTATAAAAGGTTGATGGAACACCACTACAAATGAATGTTACATGAAAAATATTACATACTTAAAACAAAATGTCCAAGTGTAGCAGCATGGTTATTCAACATATCTACAATACATTCCCTTTGCACTTTAATACATGTCAGTTATATCCGTCACCAGTTCTGGTGTTTAACTTACTTTAAAGAAAGTACTTGTTAGACCTTTCCTCACTAAAGCATTTGTCACCTGAGTAAGCAGTGTTGCTAAAAGACATGTGCTCATTGATGCTGTCACAGAAAAACAAATGTCAAGACACCGCAGGAAAACATAACTAGTTCCACTCGTTTGGAACGAGCTCTCTCAAGCTTCATGTGTTTGTATTCTTTAACATGAAACTATTTGCCTTTTTTAACCCTTCAGTTTGTATTTCCTTGTCTGATAACGTTATCAACTTAAAACTCGACTGCACGCGACCAGCAACTAGTTGGATGGTCCTCAACAATAGTTTCAAGATTGTAGGGTGTGTGCAGTCTTTGACTTTAGTTGTACTTGCCAAAGTCTACAGCTTCATGTAAAAGTAAACTAAGCAGCAAAAAGCTGTGTTATTCTGTTCTTTTGTAGGACAATCATTCTTTGCGCACTCTAATTTACTAAATTTACTAGAAAAAAAAATTGCCTACAGGAGAGTTAAATCATCCGTGCTGGTATTATCGTGCCCGCCCTCATTTTCGGAACGTCTACAGAACGTTCATGACACGTTGAGACCTTTTATGTATCACACAGTCAGGTTTTTAGGATTTCTCACCACTGAACAAAGAGGTC